ATAGTAAAATTTAACTCATTTAGCACAACTTACATTTTACTTGTCTTCTATGCAGTTTCCTCCATAATTTCTTCATTTCTTTGGCAGAGTAGCCACAAAAGAATGACCTTTTCACAAGGACCTACTAGGAACCCAACATGGGTGTGTTTACTATTAACTGAACGCCAAACTTTACTCAGAGCTCATGAGTTTTTCCATTTATTTTTGTTTTTGATTCCACCATTCAATCTAGAACACCACGCTCTATTTATTGTCTGTGTCTCCTTAATCTTCTCTGGTCTCTGACAGCGTTTTAGTCTTTCTCATGACCTTGACAGTTTTGAGGAGTGTTTGTCAGTTATATAGAATGTTCCCAATTTTGGGTTTGTCTGATATATTCCCCATCATTATACAAGGGTTTGAATTTTTGGAAAAGATACCACAGAGGTTGCCTTTCTTACCACTTCCTGTCAGACGTCCAAGGTAACCATGTGGTCTCAATGGGGATGTTAACCTACATCGCTTGACTGAGTTGATGTTTGCTAGGCTTCTCCACTGAGAACTTACTACATCTAGCCAAAGATGGGATTAAGCTCTCCTTCCAAGAGGGGCAAACTCTACTTTTGACTGTTGGCCTCTGCCCAAATGGAAAATGCCTATAAGATGACCACAGGCTAGTAAACTTCTCTGCACTGCAGGAAATGACTTCACTCAAGCGTCATAAGTTCTCTCCTGGGGAAGTGGAGCCCCTCCTCTCCCTTTGCATGCCGTGAAATGCTTGCACCCACCTTCCTTAGCTACATGTCTGTTCCATCCATTGCCTAATCAGTTTCTTGACAGTCTGCTGTACATTTACAAGCCAGTAATAAAGGCAGTAATTATTGCAGGCAGCACTTACTGAACTTTTAGTGTTTGATAATGCTCTAAACACATGGATTATCTAATATAATCCTTTCAGCCACCCTTTGGTGTCTGGGCACCTCATTGTACAGAGGAGTGGCTGTGAGCCACAGGCAGCTTAAACTGTCCAAGGGAACTGGGGCAGCCCTGCTCCTTAGTTCCCGTTTCTCAGCACGGTGTCTAGGACTGAGCAAGTGTTGATTCTGTATTTAAATTGATACAGTGATGGATTGATCATTAAGACTCAATTTCCTATTTGATTGACCTTCTTTGATTACAGAGGTCTGTTAAAGCATAGAAAAAATAAGAGCGGTTTTAAAAATGATGATGCTTCACAGAAGGCGTCGAAAGCAAGAGTGGCACACTCTTGCTTTCGAAAGTGCACCCTTTCTTTAAAAAGCCATAGTCACCTTTGCTGGGCTTGTTAAATGTGAACATGGATTCTTTCATAGACATTGCATATTTGCAGCTTATTTTACCTTGTAACAGTTCAAACTAATTTAATATATTATTGAAGAACAAAAGTAGTATTTACTCCTGAAGTTGACATCCTGACTCTGGAGACCAAGGGAGTGAGGAATACTTAGCAAGAAGTCAGTAGATAGATGTGTAAACTAAAACTAAAATAATGTGGAGAAAACATAGCAGTGTCATTAGGAAGTAGAACTCTGCCACTCTTTAATCTCTTCTTTCAGTTCTTTTATTTGTACCTAAAATTCGTTTTAAGGGCTTACTATATGTGAGCCCCTGTGATAGGCATTGGAATGAAGTTGTACAAGATATAGAAGGAACCAGTTCTCAAAGTTTACCACTAGTGGGGAAGACAGACATGTAGGTATAAATGGTACATTATACAATAGTGATAATGGGGTCCAAAGGAAACCAAGAACCCCCCCGTGTGTCCCTCACAAAGGGACATTTACCCTGAGATCAAACTTTCAGCCAGGGGTTTCAGGTGTGTTTATTGAATTCATTAAAAAGAATATATTTATCATCCCATGTTGAATGAGAAACACTATTACATTCCCTTGGAACTTAGAGGTTGGCAGTATGTCTCAATCAAAATCTCATTCCTTTAAGACTTTCAGCAGGTGAACAAGAAGTTACTTTTGGCAACTCAGACTGCCCTGTGGTTTTTACCCCTGCCCTTACCTCTCCCCTTTTAAGAACACAGACTTGTGTACTAGATTGACGTGTTGGAGTTGGTGAGCCGTTCAGAAGGGTCTTGCTGCCAAAATGCAGATGTCTTGTTACTTCTAAAAAAGAGTCAGTAAGAGGAAACTAAAGTGCAAGTGACTCTTACTATTATAGATGGGTAATATCATGTCTGAGAGAGGAAGGCTTCTTCTCAAGTGTTCATCTCTTCCCAAATAGCTTTAAGTTAACCATAGTTTTTATCTAGTATTTTTTTTTACATAAAAGCATTTATTCAAATTTGTGAAAAACAAAACGTTCAATACTCTGAGTCTTGTGGAGCTGCAAACGATTAATGGTATAATTCTCAGTCTTTTATAAAGAGTCTTAACACCAAAGAGATTAATACAGTGTGGAATGGCAATGGTGCTTCGATGTGAGAATAGATAATCAATACCTGCAAGCTTAGAAAAAGTGTTCTATTTCCTCTACTAATGACATAGGGGTTTTTGCAAGGCAAGGGTGTCTGAAGCATGAAGTACTCCAAAGAAGAATTAATTTGAAATCTGAAGTGGAAGATCAGTTTCAATTAAAATTGCACTTGAACGTATATTGGGTGGAAGTGTGAAAGCAAGCATGTAGTCGGCTTAAATCTTCAGATTGTTACCAGTGAATAAATGAATCCCACTGGTATGAACCCTGATTATATTTTTATAGAGTGATAAATTATATTTTACCCATGTCTGGAAGGTTATGAGAAATAATATGAATGGCAAGTACTTTTCTGACATTGCAGAGTATTTTTTACATTGTTAGTAGTAGGAGGATAATTATCAGGTGTCTGTTTTTCCAAATGATGGCTTGCATCTATTATTTGAATCATAGGTATTTGGATTTATTTTACTGTGTCCTGTATCATTTTTCCTTGTTGAGTGTAATTTTATTGTAAGTTTTTAGAAGGCATGCATACATACACATACGATATTATGATATTAAAACATTAGTTTCCATAATTTGGATTTATAAGCTCAGTTGTGGCTAAGTAAAATTCCTATTTTGGTCAGCCATCTGATAAATCAACCATCACTTTATTTGGTTTTTCAATGAATTCTTTTGGCATCTGGAAGAAAATTTAAGCTGTAGACAGGATGATTGGAGCCCTTCCTTATGTCTCCTTCCCCTCTTTTTTTTTGTTTTTTTTCTTCAAATATACAGATGCGAGATGAAAATAAAGTTTGGCCAAAATAAAAGTTGGCTAAATATATGGCAAATGCATACTATCCCTTTGTGACTCATCACAGACATAGGGAATTCGACAAAGAGGTAAAAAAAAAAAGACATAAGTGAAAAGTCTATGACAATTTAGTTGGAATCATGCAGTGAAGAGAATGGTGATGTTAACTTTTTCCAGATAGTAGCGTGACACTTACAAATGACTTAAGAGTATCCCCGAGTTTGCTAGACCTTTGCCAATCAGCGAACATGTTCATTCGGATAGTCTGTTTTTATCTTACTCTTTGGGATGAGGATTAGGGAGAATGACTTAAGCTTTAGAGTGAGGCTGAGGTATTTTCCAGATAGCAAAAATATGCGTCATTTTTAAGGAGCTGTATCCATTGCTCTTGCATGCTCTTTCCATGACGGAAAATACTTTCTGTGATTGTCCCATTTTTCTTGTACCCTTGTTTATATCTACTGTGAGCTGTTACCAGTTTTCGGGGAATGGGGAAAGCCGTGGCAAATGATTGGGTAGTGGCAGGATGGTCACTCATGTGGGCTCTTATTTAGTGGTAGGGAGATTTACCTACACTACTAAACTAACAAGTTGGACTTACCTACTAATAAACTAAATAAGATTTCTTTGTGTCTTCCATTGTACGAGGCTAGGTATACAGGAGGCATAAAAATTCCCACCCATCAGCTAGTATTTCTGTATATGAATGTGTATACACTAAGTGTGTATATACACATTAAGCTTTCTGATTGGGAAGCCTGTGTTTTACCTGCTAAAAATTGTAAAGTTTATTCTTATCTAATTATCAATAAAGGATTCAATCTTAATCTTTCCAGCAAAAGTTGTTTCAGCAGGCTACGCCCGCTATGTTGTGTCAACAAGGTTAAAAGTAGGATGCGGAAAAGTCTTAAGAGCACGTAGTCAATGTAATAGAAACTGCTCCCATAAAATTTCATGTCCAAATAAGGCAAGGAGGCAAATGCAGTGTGTTTTCTGTGTTTATGCCTGATTGGTACCTATTAGAATTAGAATTATGCTTTATTGTTGTGCTTTCTTCCTTTATTTCTGTGGCATATGTCCCCCCAAAGTCTTTATTTATATGAGTGCAGAGTCCAATCTGAAGGTAACTTTATGACTGCATTTTCTATGAGAGAGAAGGATCGAAAAGGAGAGATGAGCGCCTTAACACTCAAGTGTACAAATGAAGGCCAAACTGAAAAATCTTTCACAATTAGCCAAAGGAAAAACCTGCCTTTATTGCCCCCGTCATTTGTAATGCCTCTCATCTAGTTTTCTGTTGCTTTTATTTTTTTTCCTCTTTCATGTTTGCAAACTTTCATGGGCTAAGAAGATAGTTGTATTTAGGATGTTGCTCACGATAGCAAAACATGCTAACTTAATCAAGGTGCTTTTTTTTGGTGAATAAATGCTCTGCTTATTTTAGGAAATATTTAAAAATTTTCAGAAATATGAACAACCCTGACAGCCCTTCTACACAACTCTCTTAACCTGGTTAAAGGTAAAGTTAGCAAATGTTTGATTGTAAATCAAGAAGCAAAACTAACTCAGGTAACATCTTTCCTGAAATCTTCTTGCCACATCAGGCAAATGGCTTCGATTCATAGTTTTCAGTACATTCACCTCTTTGGATTAGGGACATGTTGAGAGATGCAGTGCTCAGCTTCCTAATATTTATTCATTTCATCCCTGACCCTTGAACCGTGAGGATTGAAGTGTTGTCTTCTTTCAACAGGTGCCTATGGTCCTGAGCACTGGGTCACATCTAGTGTCAGCTGTGGGGGCCATCACCAGTCTCCTGTTGACATTTTAGACCAGCATGCGCGTGTCGGGGAAGAATACCAGGAACTGCAGCTCGATGGCTTCGACAATGAGTCTTCTAACAAAACCTGGATGAAAAACACAGGGAAAACAGGTAGACAATGTCGTCTTTATTTGTCCACAGAGCAACAGGAACTATTTTTGGATGCCTCTGGTGTTTACCTTAACCATGACTTGCTCCTTGAATAGTGTACATTGCTGTAGGGAGCCTAAATCAGTCCTTAGTTTCAGAACGAGCTGTGTGACTGGATACATCACTTTGTGGCTAATCACCCTGTCACTTCATTTTTTTGAAAAATATAAACTGTAGATAATAACATATTATACATCTAGACCTAGTGTTGTAGTGATTAAATGAGTTAACAGATGTAAGGTATGTAGAAGGACTTTCAGAAAGCTACCCAGTCTGGTAGCCACTAGCCACATATGGCTATTTCCATTTAAGTTTTAATTAAAAATTGAATAATATTAAAACAGTCCCTCAGTTGTACTAGGTACATTTCCAGTGTTTATCAGCCACATACGGCTAGTAACTACCCTCTTGGGCAGCTCAGACAGAGGACATTCTATCATTGCAGAAAGTTCTGTCAGGTAACATGGTGCCAAATATGCAAATGAAATCAGAATTCTTATCTTTCTTGAGATTTGGTTTATTAATATTTTTTATTACTTCCGAGTACAGACGAACTGTCTCATCCCTTTGTGTATCAGACCAGCAATTCGATTCTTCCACTTGTCATTTTGGGATTTGTGAATATGCAGCATCGTCTTTTTACCATTGCTAATGCGAAGAGCTACCTCCCTCTCAATTACTGTTGTGCAAATATCAGTTTATAGATTGTCCTTATAAGTACCAGAGAATGCTTTGCTGTGCTTCGCTGTATGATCTGAAAATAAGCTCTGGGATATTATACTACATCTCTGCTTAGTGCTACCTGGGGTTCTGTTGATGCCTAAAGATATTTTTCACTCTTATTACTTAACTACTTATAACTTTGGCCCATTAAAACAAGTTTTTTTCTCTCTTTCTCTTTTTAAAGTGAACCCTTTGTAACCAAGGATGTCACTGCGCACCACTGTTAGTAATCCCTTTCAGGAACCTTGGCTGCCAGAGCCCTCATGCTGGGCTAAAATGACTTCACTCCTAGCCCTTTGGTCCTATTCATGTTGTAGGTCACAAAGTTGCCTTTTTTTTTCTTTCTTTTTTTTTTTTTTAAATAACCTAACTGGCTAAATGGGGAGCTTTAGGGATCACCAGAAAAAAAACTGGTGATCCAATAGTGTTATTTGTACGTATTTTTTTTTCTTTTTCTTTCTTTCTTTCTTTCTTTCTTTTTTTTTTTTTTTTTTTTTTTTTTT